CTCAGCCTCTTCAGTCTGGCAGACTTTTAGTAGACAAGAGGTCCCCAATGGCTGGCTGTTTAAAATGACTACTTGTGATTTGAAAAGTGCTTCTTTTAACCTTTGCTAGGTGGCAGACAGGTCTAATTTACAAAGTGTATTTTGACAACAAAGGGTAAGAGAAGCGCTGTTCAATTTATTTAACAGACAATGTGTAAAATCTTAATGCACCTTTAACACAGAGACATTGGTAAAATAGTCAGGCCTGTAATATAAAGTCTAGAGCTGCTAGTCTCACAACAGCAAGCTGTTTTACCCACATTGAAATTCCTTGGTGCTGTCCACTCTGCACCATCAACCTCTGTGGCTAAGCTTCAGGAATACCAACCAGCTGTCAGCCCTTTACTCTTTCGCTCTCCCTTCTTCTTGCCCACTCTCATGCTATCTCACATTCTTTCACTTTCTCTGTATGCTCTCTCTTGATGATGGAAAACAAGTGCTGCATCACCATTTTAATTCTAGCATGGGTGTGCAGGTTGTTGTTGTTGCTTTAAATTTTTCCTTGCTACAGATGTAAAGGATGGAGCAAGCAGTGATGAGCCGGCTCAGAATGGAAGATCAGGCTTATGAATCTTACAAGAATGTAGTGAGAAGAGGCCTGGCGAGAAGTCAGCCTTAATCTCCCTCTTTCCCCCTCTGTTTGTGTTTTTATCACCTATAGACCCGTGCACACAGCTTGTCTGTGTTTACGAGATTTGTCTCCCTTTGATTCTGGCTAATTAGCTGCGGATGGACCAACCAAGGACTTGAATGTTTCCATATTAAAGATAGAAAGAATAAAATAGACATTGCTGAATATTTTTACACATGGGGTTGCTGTCTAGTATAGTGCCATAGACAGGTCATATAATGGAACCATATTGATACTCATTTTGAGAATGATGCATGTACTGCTCAGAGGTATCACCTTGGCTGAGTAGTCTACCCTAAAATATTCAGTCAGTCCCTAGGGCCATTATGACCAGAAGGAGGCCCCATTAAAGATACAGTTAATTTACACTTTAAGGCCAAATGTTGGTGGACACCCTTACAGCCCATAGACACTGAATATACAAGGGTCACTGAATGATTTGAATTATATGCTATGACCTTTGCAGTCACTAGAGCTCAACTCAGTTGAACACCTATGGGGGATTTTGTAGGGACATGTTAAACAGCATCTCCGCCACCATCACCAAAAAACCCAAATGAGAAAATATCTTTTGGAGGGATGGTGTTCATCCCTCCAGCAGAGTTCAGAGACTTGTGGAGTCAATGCAAAGGTGCACTGAAGTTGTTCTGGCGGCTCATGGCAGCCCACTTTATGGTGGTTTTTCCTTTATTTTGTCACTCATTTTTACTTTTTGTATGTACTTTTGACTTTGGGTTAAGCTTATTTATCTCAGAAAATCTTAAATCTAGACCATACCATCAGTTTGTTTCAAGATGATAATACCCTACTCCACAAAGCCATGTAAAATATCTGCATTAACATTAAACATTAAAATATCTACTGAAATATCATTTTCTTTCAAACTAATAGTGATATCAGTGTGATTCCAGATGTCAGGGGTAGGTTTTCATGGTCAAGGACTTGTATTATGAGGGTCAGTCTATCATGGAAATATTGCTTTTAGGCATAATGACATTATGGGGACAGTTAGCTGCCTTAGCTGGTGTTTGTGCTTTCTGAGTGCTGTTTAGTCTAACGATGTTTTTTATTCCTTTACTTTACTTTTCTTTCCTTTTCATTACTGCATATTTTTAACCAGAAAAGGACACAGGTTCACACTCCTGTGTTAGCGCTTAATGACGTGTTACTGGATAATTATATGGAGAATATATGACAGTAGTTGTACTTCATGCATACAGTAAATGGTGATTTACTGTACTGTACAAGCATTTAGTAGTGTTGAAGTGATCTTTCATTACGTATTTGTGACCTGAGTGTGTATCTTTCTTCAGATTGTTCACAGGAAACGGTGATCATACTCCTGTGATATCCTTTCTGCCATATTCAGTGCTTGAAATGAGCCCTTATGTGACAATATGAAGTTTTTCTGTCTGTGTCTTTCAAATTCTCTTGAGACCTTAAATCTTACTTTTACTCTTTTTTGTTGCCATGGATACCTACGGCAAGGCAACTTATCGGAGGCAACAATAAACTCAGCTCTTTCAAGCCTTTAAGAAATTTGTCACCAAACTGATGATCCAAAAGACCCCCAATATCTTCTCTCACATGCAGACACTAATGTATGCACACACAGTCATGTAGATAAACTTGGACTGACACACAGTTTTGACCGCTGGATGACAGCGGAACAGAGATCAATGTAATCTCCTTCAGCACAATCCCAAGCCACTGTCATCATCCATCTATCTATCCCAGTGGAACAGGCGAAATGTGTGAAATCAATTCTGCATTCAATTAATGAGCAGCCAGCCACAGAAGTCTGGCTCCAGAGGTGACCCCAAGTGCTCCTGCATGGTCCTTAGTGGATGCCTGCTCTGGTTAATAGCCTGGTTTCCACTATAGCACCAAAATGGAAAGAAAGTTGTATGCTGCAGCACTATACATAACTGTACAGTACCAACACAGTGTGATAAGACTGAATAGACTGGTCTGCTGGACTGTTTCAGATGAAGAGTAAAACTCTCAGTTCTGTTCTGCACACAAACAACTAACATTAACATTTTGACATTTTGGGAAATACACTAATTCACTTTCTTGCCCAATGTTAGATGAGAAGATTAACATCGCTCTCATGTCTGTAGCCTACATTTAATCTGAAACTATAGGTAGCAGTCAGTTAGCTTATCTTAGCATGAGGACTAGAAACTGGGGGAAACATCTAGTTCTGTTTAAAGGTTACAAAATCTACCTGCTAACACCTCTGAAATTCACTAATGAACATGTGTTACATTTTATTTGTTTAATCCTAACAAAACCATTAAGTGTAACAACAACATATATTAGTTTTACAAGGGTTGTCTTGTGGGCTCTTTTGTAGCCAGGATCAGTGACCTAAAGGAAGAAAAGGTCTCACGCATAACCCCCAGCAAACCCATAAAAGGTCATTTTTACACTTCACCTTTTGGACAGAGCCAGGCTAGCTGTTTCTTCCTATTTCCAGTCTTTATTCTAAGATAAATAACCAGCTAAAGGTAATAGTCCCATATTTAAAAGACAGATAGGTTATATATAGCTGGCATGATGCTTCTCATATTGCCCAGGCAGTGAATGAGTGTAGTTCCTGAGCAATGTTAACCAAACACTTTATTCTGTAAGCTATGTAAGTCCTAACCCTAAACTTGATTTATTTACATTGTGGGGACTTGTACTTTGTGTCTAAAATACATTGGGTCACTGTTCAATATTAAGATAGACAATGCAGAATCACTGGCATTCATTAAGTGTCTGATCATTTACAAGTATCCTAGAGTCCCCCAAAACATTTTTAATACTGTTGCAGTTATTGAGTGTTTCTGGGAAACTAATTTAAGTGACTTGTATTTGCATAAATGGATTTAGCAATTATACACCAATTTGGTGTTTCATCTAAATGTTGGAGTGGTCAAATATATACGTACAGCTCAAAAAGTTGAAATAATTTACTATTTCAAAGGAAGTTTTTTTTTTTTTTTTTACCATGGAATCCAACTGGTCTCATTCAGTACTGCTTGTTGCTGCGTAATGATGATGATGATATACAAATTGCATCACATGAGTTTATTCATGCTTCTGGTTGCCTAATTTGACTGTCTTGGTATTTTGGATCCTGCAACCTTCTACAGGATATATGGTAGTGATAATGGATGGATAGGTGTTTTTTTTTTTGGATTTTACTTCGCATTACTTAATGTATACTACCAATCAAATGTTTGGTCATTTGGAGGTGTGTCTAGTCTTTTTATGACTGGCAATCATTTTAAATAACAAGAGTAATCTTTTTGCAAAAACACAAGAACATTTTAATCCTATAATGTAAATGGCAAAATCAGTAAATCCTTAGAGTAGGAAGCCCTAGAAAATGTTTTCTTGTAGAAAATAATGCATAGTAACTCTCAACAAGTCTGACTAGTGTGACTCATTTTGATGCACACAGATGAAATAAGGGATGATGTAAACCTGGATTTATTGGTGGGAGCCTTGTGTTATTTCTTTATTCCTTTATAGGTTGCATAGGTTTTACATTTTAGAATGCAGCACCCTTAGGGCAGGGCAGTCGATTTAAGGTCCTTACCAAAGCAGTTTAAACTGCATATTAGTGCTGCATATTACCAAACAAATTTGTCATAAACTAATTGCTACACAGCAAACATAAGGCTGTTAGGTCTTTTATCATCTGGAGCCCTGGCCGTGTTTCATAGTTGGTAATCCAGCCCTACTCTATACCTTGTCCCTTGTATGAATCCCAAAATAAAAACATCTTTATTTTTGGTTTATGTGTATGTGTCTTTCTTTCTTTGTATGTGTCTTTATGTCATTGTGTGGACAAATTTAATTTCAATACCAGTGTTGTGACAACATTTTCATATTGTGAGAACATTTTTTATGGTCCTGACAACTTCAAAGGTTAAGACTTGGTTATAGGGTTAATATAGGGTGGGTTTAGGCATTTAGCTGTGATGATTAAGGTAGAGTTCGGGTAAAGGTCTTGGCGCCATCTACAGGCTCGGCAGAGTAAAGTTTCTTGAGATTTAGCCTATAAACTGCTAAATATTAACACTAAAATTTAATTGAAATAAAACACAAATCATTATCAGTTCATTACATTTAAGTTGTTTGCCAAAGTTCAAGGATCATTCGGTGTTCGTAAATCGGATGGGAACTCTCACTACATTAGGAACTATTGTGGTTCAGCACTTGCTTTCTGTCCGGACGTGTGAGCGGTTGCACAGGTCCTTAGAATCGCTTGAGGCACGCCATTGTGGGCAAATAGTTACTTTTATATTACTGGCTCGTCATTGTGAGCTAGCTTTCTCAGCTGAGTTATCCCGAGTATAATAGCTACAGAACGAACTGTCCCACAATGGCTACGGACTCCTGGGCTAAGGCAGTAGACGAGCAAGAAGCCGCGGCGGAGTCGGTAAATATTAACTCACGCAACACAAGCTAACGCGTTGTTAGCCTGTTCACATGAAGCTTTCTTTTGGCCTGTTGTGCTACAATGTAACCTAAAATTCGTCGCTTGACACTTTTGACAATTGAAATTGTGTAATGACAGTACAGTCCGTGAGTAAATTGGCTTCTTTGGCAGCCTATCTCAGTATCATTTTCACTTACTTAAAAACGAAACTACCGGATGGCCCCGGTTTGGCATCAGAGCTAAGTTAAGTTGGATGGAGCTGTGATACTGCGTGCTCATTTAGTTATTAGCTTTAGCAGTTAGCTGGCCAGTAAACACATAATCCAAGAGGGGCCTCTAAATGAAATCCAATGAAGTTTAAGTAGTCCTGACATATCCCTGTTTTGTCCTCATCACCTGTTGGAACTAGACAGTGCAATTTCTCAGGAAATTGCGGTGGGATTGCTGCCTCCTGAAAACTTTAGCTAAACTGCGTTGTTGGCTGCTACTAGATACCTATGAAAATCACTATGTCTTTTGCAGTGCCTACAATTAGGTACTGGTTCATCGTGTGTTTGCGTGGATCCATTGAGTAAAGGATCCATCAACTGAAAGTGCCTGCTAATAGTTTTGTAGTGTCACTTTGTAAAACACCACAAACAACAGACAGTCTAATCGGCTAATGTAGGACATCTCTGCGTGTCCTACTGCTGTACTGCTTGCCTTGGAAATAACTATATTGCTTTCTTTTAGAGATTGGAAAGAAACCTTGAAAACTTGAAACTTGAAAAGCTCTGTAAGACAAGACAGTAAATCCTGTTGTAAAGTGTTTTGATTTTCTGAGAGACACCTCTAAATGTGATGATTTGAAATTTGTGTTGATTGTGTCAAAAATGTGGTTTCTGGAGTGACTTACAAAAGCCCCTATCTTAGCTTCCCACCTCAAAATTCTGCTCTCAGTTATAATGGCAGTGAATGGGGCAGCTGAATGCTATTCCTGTCATTTGAAGGCTTTGGGCACAAAATGTTTATCTGGTTGCTGAGATAATCACATAATCTGAATCAAGACAAGTTTTTTTTTTTTACAAGTGATGAAAAATGTTTTTGTTTAAAGTTAAAGTTGTGGCTGTGAGGGCAAGTCAGAGAAATAATACAAGTTTAACTGCTTCTCACACTTTAGCCTCTGAGCATTCAACAATTCATTTCTAATGGGAAAATTTGCCAACAAAAAGATAAATATTTCCAAAAATATAAAAGATATTGCTGAGGACAAGGATACGATTTGAAAAATGGTGGAATGACAATAATATTGTGGGATCGCTTACGCAACAATCCCACCAGTGAGAGGCACAAATTGAATCTCATAACCAGCTCTGATATGTAAAGCTCATTGTCATCAAGCAACTCTGTAAACTTTCTGATGTCCTCCTTATAGATCAGCAGCCTTCAAATAAAAGAGAAACCAGAAGAAAATGGTAAGTTTATACAATTACATCGGTTGTAAAATGCAAGCTAATGGTCTGAAAACCAGTAAGCAAAAAAATGTTTCATTTGTAAATTGCAGGCACAGCTGCATACGCAACAGACTCCAGAAGCACACCTGCAAAGTCAGAAGCTGAAGGAGAAAACAAGGCTACAGATGACGATGACAAAGGTGGAAAATGTATTGTTTCAAAAGTATTCATTCTTTGGTGAATCTGTCTGATGTTCTTGATTGTCTTTCATTGAGATGCTTGGTTGTCTCTGGAGTTATTGAAATACTTTTTGTTTTTGTTTGTTTTGTTTTGTTTTCTCTAGAGGACAAAGCAGCACAGTCATTGTTGAACAAGCTGATCCGGAACAATCTTGTCAATACCACTAATCAAGTGGAAGTTCTTCAGAAGGATCCCAACTCTCCACTCTACTCTGTCAAGTCCTTTGAGGAGTTGCGACTGTAAGTGAATCTTCTATTTGTCCATTTATCTGTCTTGTTACCCTACAGTATGTTGGGGTGTAGCATATAATTTTTAATTGGTTATGAGTCATACTATTAATGACATGTGCATGTAGTCAGACAGGATGGTTTGGAACTAAAAAGTTTCCAGCAAGACTCACACTTCAACCATACCTGCTCTAGGATTTTTTCCTCTGTCCAACCTTTTATTGGTAGATCTTTTAAAGCATGGTTGTACTCTCACACAGCCATGTTTGATCAGGTGTTTTGAGTTTTTGAAGATCTGTAAAATACTTGTTGAAAACATGACATTTGGAGGAGGAGAACAAAGACCAAAGCAAGAAAACTGTAGGTTTCATCTCACTGCTTTTTGTCTGCAGCAAACCTCAGCTGCTTCAGGGTGTGTATGGCATGGGTTTCAACCGGCCATCCAAAATCCAAGAGACTGCCTTACCTATGATGCTCGCTGAACCGTGAGTATCCATTACACTGTATGCAAAGCTTGTGGAGTTCTCTAGCAATGTATTGTCTCTTAATAAAATCTCTCACCCTCAGTAGAGTATAATTTTAAAATTAATGTACACCACCTTGTACCAGCCACTCGTGAAGTACCAAGGTCAATAACAATTTTACCCCCTGTGCCTGTGGTTTAATTGTCAGTTTCCTCTAGTCCACAGAATCTGATTGCCCAGTCACAATCGGGAACTGGGAAAACAGCCGCCTTTGTCCTGGCCATGTTGAGCCATGTAGACCCCAACAACAGATATCCCCAGGTTAGTGAAATCCTAAGTTTCTTAGTTGATATGAGTGACTTGTCTTTTAGACAAAAATCTAAATCCTGTTTTCCCTTGATGTCATTTTTCTCCATCAGTGCCTGTGTGTGTCACCTACCTATGAACTGGCACTCCAGACTGGCAAAGTGATCGAGCAGATGGGCAGATACTATCCTGAGGTCAAACTAGTGTACGCCATCAGGGGAAATAAATGTAAGGCCTCTCTGCTTCCTATAATAAACTGACATAGACTGAACTGTTCCTCTGGATGAAAACTTGAGTGCACCTGAGAGATTACTGCGTCAGTGAGAGCTTTTTTTTTTTTCTTGTGTCCGTTTCAGTGCAGCGGGGTATGAAGCTGCAGGAACAGATTGTTATTGGCACACCTGGTACCATGCTGGACTGGTGCAGTAAATTCAAGTTCATAGAGCCCAAGAAGGTCAAAGTGTTTGTTCTGGATGAGGCTGATGTCATGATCGCCACACAAGGACACCAGGACCAGAGTATCCGCATCCAGAGGTAAGTTGCAGTAAAATATTCCTGTGAAAATCTTGAGCTAAGTAAGGTCATGAATGCTGCACGAGATTACACGCTGTCCTGAAAACACAACATTGAGTCATTTTGTGAATAAGGTTTTTTGCAGTGCTGCACTATACAGAACATTTTGGCATCTGTGTTTTTAAAACTGCAGCCACTGACATTTCACTCCTGTCTTTACTACCAACCAGGATGTTGCCTAAAAACTGCCAGATGCTGCTGTTCTCAGCCACATTTGAAGAATCAGTGTGGAACTTCGCCAAGCGCATTGTGCCTGATCCCAACATCATCAAACTAAAGAGAGAGGAGGAGACATTGGATACTATCAAACAGTACTATGTCTTGTGTAACAGCAAGGAGGAGAAGTTCCAGGCCCTCTGTAACATCTACGGCGCCATCACCATTGCCCAGGCTATGATCTTCTGCCATGTAAGTTCACATAGAGGTTTGATTTGGCCAATGAAGCCACATTTCTGTTTCATCTAGTTGCTTCTATGAGTTGTGTTTTTGTTCATATTTCCATTTATGATCTGTAGTATAAACAGCAGTTTTCCCTTTGACACCTCCACCACCATTTTATATAAAACTGTGAAAAAATAACCAGACTGTAACTTTCTGGAAGAGCCTGAGCCTTATTTTACCAGAATCTTTTGACACAGGGCCCTCAGTAGCTGCTGTTGCCATTTACGTTTTCACATTTGGTCCTTTTATTACATGAGCACGTAGTTGGCTGCTGAGGTGCCTACAGGGATGTCCCGTACCAGTACTGGGTCTGATACCACCCTCTATTAATCCTTAAAGTTGTCCAATACTACACACGCATCACATCAAACCCACACAGTGCTCATTCTGCTGATGGTAGGTAATTATTGTGAATGAAAAGAAAACAGATGCAAATTTTTCAGTAGTTCTTGGAGTATTCTGAGCTCTGTGTATGAAAATCTGTTGTAGATGTTGTTTTTAGATGTGTGTTGTAGATGTTGAGGCTGAGATCAAATGGCTTCCTGTGCTGCAGCGCAGGTATGTGTCTAGCAGAGAGGCTGCAGATCAGCATGCACCAGTTTTAATAATAAATTTAAACTGTTCTGGGTGGTTTAATTATAAAACAAGGTTGCATTCCTAAAAAGGTTTGTTGTATAGTAGGCCTGTAGAAATTTAGCCAGTTAAACATTGTTTAATCAGAGTGGTGGCAGTGTTTATCACACAAAGTTTTAAGTTAATTTGCAGAGCTTTCTGATATCATATTCAAATACAATCAAAGTAAATCTCATGAATTTCAAAACTGTCTCTAAAGTCACTGCACTTTTGTGGTAATTGTAATTTCTGTAGTAGAAATGGTATCAGCAGGCATTCAGATGCAAGTACTCATCCTCGGTTTAAAAAAAAAAAAAAAAAAAAAAAAAAAAAAAAAAAAACTACAGCACACTCTGTCCTCTGTGTGATCAGACAAGAAAGACTGCAGGCTGGCTGGCAGGGGAGCTGTCCAGAGAAGGCCACCAGGTGGCGCTGCTCAGCGGAGAGATGCAGGTTGAACAGAGGGCCGCTGTCATTGAACGCTTCAGAGATGGCAAGGAGAAGGTCCTGGTCACCACGAATGTTTGTGCTCGAGGTAAGGACCATGTGCTCAGAACAGGAAGGAATCAACATCAAGTCATCATATGACTATTTGTTGTTTCTACATCGAAAGAGCATTCTCCATATTTAGCATTTGCTTTGGGGAGAACACATTTTGCCACAAGTTAAAGGCTTGATGTGTGAAATAGTAGCCACTGATTTGGAAACATATTTCTCAGTCTACATTACTCTTGTTTGCAGTAGAAAACCTTGGAGGAAACATCAAAGCTTTACATTTTTCCCTGTTATGTAGTAGTGGGTGGCATCTTCAGAGATATGTCAACATTTCACAGTTGCCTATTCTCTGCCTGGAATAATGAACCAACATTTAAATTAGGTATTTCCACAGAGTGTCGTGTTTATCAGTAACATTAGCGCACATGTGGCTCGCTCTTGTCTTTCTCACTGTGTGCTTCGCCCACTGGCCTGGCCTGCTGGGGTGGTGCACCTAATGTACAGCCAGCAAAATAGAAGAGTGGAGCTGTGTCAGTAGCTCTGAACTGTTTGAATGTAGGATTGTTCACCAAATGCAAGACTGAACTGTGTTTAAGACAGTTATTTAGTAATTATCATTATCTCTCTCCCTGCTCGTCTGACTCTCAGGTATTGATGTCGAGCAGGTTTCCGTGGTTATTAACTTCGACTTGCCAGTTGACAAGGATGGTAACCCAGACAATGAGACATACCTGCACCGGATTGGCCGCACAGGTCGATTTGGCAAAAGGGGACTGGCCATCAACATGGTGGACAGCAAGATGAGCATGAACATCCTCAACAGGATCCAAGAGCATTTTAGTAAGTCTGACCCCGGCTGCTCCCACCTTTCTGTCTTGAGGTGTTTTTACATTGCCCTACTGCAGCGATCATTAGAAAAACAGCAAAAGAACTCATGAAATTACCATATTTATTATGGTTTGTTTTAAATGCCATTTACTTATTTCAGGGAGTTGGTACCTTTCAGCCGTCTAAACAAGCCTTTCCATGTTCTGTGGTCTTTCCCTCTACAGATAAAAAAATTGAAAAACTAGACACAGATGATCTGGATGAAATAGAGAAAATCGCCAGCTAAAGAGGACACCGACTCAACTTGCTTTCCCCTCTTCCCTCTGCCACGACCGTATACTCCTTCAGTGTTTTATGTTTAGATTTTATTTTTAGCCATTGGAGAAGAAAGAAAAACCACAAACACAGCATATGTTTACATGTGGATGTGTCTCCTCTCCGACGAGCGTGTTTTAAGTCTGGAACATGCCCCATTTCACTCTTTGTACTTCTTTTAATAAAGTCTGTGAGTTTATTGCTGTGTATCATGATGCTGCAAAAGCTGAACACACATGGATTAAAATATGCTTTTTCGTTTTGGCTGTAGTTGCGGCATGACACAAGCGAATCACAAAAACCCTTATAGAGAACTACCCATTTCTATGTGCCACAGTCCTTTTTTTTTATTTTAAGGAACAAAAGTGAAATTGAATGTAACTGTATCATGTAGACTAGTACAGCTTTTAATGTGCTTTGTTAAATTTAATGAACTAAGTACAAAGGGTGATGCTGGGCATATTGCTCCAAGCAGGACTTTAACCTCTAAGATTATGTTATTAAGATGGTGATGGTTGGGATTCAAGGGTCTATGCAAACTTATTAATCTGTTTTCACATTACACAAATTAATCCCGAATTAACCTCAGTTTTAGCATCAGGGTGTGTAGCCAAATGCCAAAAAAGGCTCACTAGATTGATAATACACTACTAACTCGAAGTCACTGACATTCAGATTTTTCTGTTTAGCCAATCATTAGTGAACTACATCTCATACTTATTTATATTATTTTTAAAGCTGTTAACGGCTGTTATTAGGATAGGCTTGGTGACGCTGCTGAGCATTGATCATTTTTCCTGTCTGTCATAAAACTGCATTTTAATTGAAAATATGACAAGTACTGATGTGATCAGTTCCGCTTTGTTTCTCACTGTCCCCCACAATCTCTTCAATCAGGGTCTCCAGTTCAACTTTAGCTCAGCTCCATTCTTCACCCAGACTGTGCTGTTATTAAGGATTGTGAATTTAAAAAAAAAAGCGATGCCTTCCTCAAGTGCATTATATATACATAGGATTTTGTTATTGATATTCTGAGACATTGGGCTTAATATTCTGAGTAACACTTGAAATTTTGATTATATATCGAATTCTGGGTGTCTATAGGATGTGTGAATTCTCATTTTGAAACCAAATGCTGAATTGACTTGAGGACCTATGCCAATCAGATTCACTGTGTTGCTCCAACATGGTCGCTTGGATAGAAAACATGTACTTGTGTACATATTTAAAATTCTAGGTTAAAGAAATTGTGTGGTTGAATTATTGACAACTTGTCACTTCTAAGAAGTGCAAAAACATTCCTCATGAGGTTCCATTTTGACAGACGCAGTACTCCGAATGCAGTGAGGGTAAATCAGTCAACCTTGCATTATTAATGGGTGACTGTACAAAACTAAGGAAATTCTGTGTGACGTCTTTTGTGGTTGATCAATACGCTGGAACATCAAAGACAGTGATTGGTCATTCTGAACCTTCTACAAACCTCATTTGGCTCCCACCGGCACTGAGAAGACTGTCGGTGGTAGTCTAGTTTTAATGGATTGTTTACGGACAACTTGCTGAAAATCACTCAATGAGCAGATGCAGCCAAATTAGACAAGTGAGAGACGGTGTGCGCGAAATCCACACTTGTGGTCTGTGAAGACTTTTTGGTAAAGAAGCAGCGTATGCAGTTTTATTTGGACATTTGGATGTATACATTATCAGTGACTGTGTGTGTGTGCACTTTGTTGATCCATAATGTAATACCACTATACAAGAGCCTTGGACACACAAAGCAGATGTGGCTATAGAACCTACCACTCTTCTCCACGTGTATACCTTGTTTGATAATTCTGAGAACCTACAAAACCCAGCTCATACATACACAGGAGTAATACTGCCTAACTAGGCTAGCAAGTTGTTTGTTGTAACCTTAAGGTCATGTGTAGACAATGATAGGTTCAAGGTGTGTGGTATTTTGTAGCTGAGCTGCATTCATGGACACATATTAAAATGTTGAATTAAAAGAACATGTAGATGTTCATCTGTATGTAGTCTGTTTATTTGTAAATGTGGAAACAGATTTATTAATATACTAGAGGCTCTGACTCAGCAAAAAGGACATTTTTACATTCATTGCATACAGTTGTATGAAAATACATTGATACAAATGAAATGTTCGAGTAAAATTAATACAGCAGGTTTCCAGTGGTCGGTAGCTGCTCCTCTGACGTCTGCTGTGGAAGCTGCAGGTCTAAGGAGGCAGAAAAAAAAAGAGGCCATGAATCTGAAATGTCCTGATAAAGGAAGAATGAGACGTAAAGATTCATCCTGAATGAACACAATCACATTTCACCCATTCGAAGGTGGTTATTGTAAGTAACATTCACACTGAGCTCAACTCTGGTTGGCTGGATGTACGCTTTAAACAAGGTTAAAAAGTAATTCTTAGGTGTAAGCAACAGAAAAATTACAGGCAAGTGCCAATTATGGTTGTATCAACAATAGAAAAAATGTGCTCGTATAGCTAGAGTATGGAACTTAAAGGTCCAACCAGGTAAAATTGCAGGTAACAGTTTGTCAACTTCACGACTTGGGCCTTGGTTTCAGACACGATGCCTCGATGTGAAATAGCTAGCAAATTACTGGCTAGGGGTGCATGTCTGAAAAGGATATCTGATTGGTTAAATGGGTCGATCCCGCTCAAAACCTTTCAGAAGTTATCTCTGCATTGCTGTCAGTGCTGTTCATTGAGTCAGGGTCACAGGAGGCTTTGACAGCACCTCTCTACATTAACTTTTGGAGCATATTTCTACAACACAAATATTAGAAAACGTTACATACTGTAGCTTTCAGAGAAAAGGGGACAACATAGAATTACAGCCTCAGTAAAAGTGTCTGAATTCAGTCCACAGTTAACTGACACTGTGAAGTGACCTTTGGACCTTTGGTCCTACGACAGCTCACTGTCATCGTATGGCACTGCACATTTAAACAGCCATTTTCAATATGCTTTGAGGTTTGCAGGTTCTGCCGATTTAGATTAGGTCTGTGTCCTTCCTACTGGACCTGCTGTCATTCAGCGTCCTCACCTGCGTCTCTGTAGTCTACCCTGGTGAGGAAGAGGCCGTCAGGTGGAGCAGCCAGGCCCCGTGGGTAAGCCAGAGAGTCCCGAGCCTCCAATATATCTTTCAGCTCAGGCACTGAGAGCCGCCCCTGACCTACTGCCACCAGGGCCCCCGCCATCCTCCGCACCTGAAGCACAGGGCCAAAGCAGTTTTTATAATAATATATAATGAAAAATAGCACAAGGCTTCTGCTGAATGACCCTTAATTATGATCTATATTTTTCAGTCATCACCAGCAGATGGCAATACTGCAACACAATCATCTTGTACATCTAGAGAAACACTGAAAGGGAACATACCTGCTTGTAAAGAAAAGATCTGCTTCTAAAAGTCAGCTCCCAGAACACAATCTCCCTGAAAACAAGAGATGAGAGTGTAACAATGTGTACAACAATATACATACAGTCTTTAATGATCACAGCTGTGCCAGTTCTTTGCACTGGATGCATATTGGGCCATAAATATGCTAATGTTTTAAAGGTGTATTGTATTAAATACATCAGGGCCTGTAGGCATGAAGTTGACCTGGCATGACTGAATGTGCTAAACTAAAGAAGGATGAATATCACCCCAGGGGGTCAAGTGTCACTTCACAAACAAAACTATATTTTGAACGGCAGGCCTTACATCACATTACTCAGTCACATAAAGAATACTACACAGGCTAATGTCAAGTACTGACTTGTTTCTGTAAGAAAAAAAAAAAAACTGGACCTAACCAAAATCCAAAACAGAATTGTTTTAACTGAAAAAGGCTCCTGTCTCAAGTCTGTTATATTTACGTGTCGCTTCTTAATCTTTCTTTTGTTAAATACTTCAGTGCCCCCCCCCCCCCCCCCCCCCTTGCGTCTTACGATGTGACATTCATGCTCATGCCAGGCATCAGATAGAGCAGGGGACTGCCCTTGTGCACAAGGACCAAAAGGATTATATGTTGAGAAGAAAATATGAATTAGCTTCTTTTGGAACTTGACATTCAATTGTTCTTTATGGTGATGTTTGATATTTTAGCATTGTGATAGTCCAGTACATTATAACTGAGTAGAACAACAAAATTCCCCCACACCCTTTTTGTACTTAACACTGATTAAATTTACATTAAATCCGAACCACAAGTGAACACAGTCTTATAGTGAATACACCATATGGCCGACACAAAGCTCTGAAATGAAGTGCTGTCCATTTATGTCTAATGGAGACCAAAGAACTCAACCTTACATACCACAGCTCTGTGTTCTAGGATACAAAAAAAATGTAGTTCAACCTTTGGCTTTTCAATAATTTACCGCTCAGTTTCTTCTTGTCTTGTCACTGTTACTTAGAATAGTGACACTTGTGAAAAAATAAACACACATCTCAACTGCAACTAAAGTTAGCCCACACTGGGCCATTCATGAGAACTCTGTAGAGAATAAAAGAGGGAAAAGGTTTTTCTTTGGTGAAAATGCAACCATGGACACTTTAGAGCAAATGCGGTATGAATTAGAAGACAGAAACGTTTAGCAGCTAAAGAACCAGATGTTTCTCTCAAATGCTGGTGGACAGCACAGGAACAGAGTAAATACTGGACAGATAATGCTCTCCTGAAGGTATGATGAAGCAACTGTTTGCTTTAATGTTCCCAATAAGATCTTTACTAAGTGATAATATGTCAGTGTTGTGCTCCCATGTGGCATCAATACATTTTTTTTAACTTGACATACATACAGAGTGCTAGTAACTAATGCAATCAGTCTACATGAGTATAGCGTCTACCTGTGGAAGTTTGCGTGTACAAAGGAACTTCCTGGCTGTATGGCCGCCACATCCAGCGTCTTCATGGGGTTTTTAAAAGTTATGTCAGAGTTGACTGCCCTGAAGCTGCTGAAGTCATGAGTCCCAACCAGCAGGGTGGCAGCCTTACGCATTGCTCCCACATCCAGCTCCCTGATAGAGGGACATGAAAAACAATACTTTTTCTATAAGCGTTAACTTGCAGCCGAGGGCAACAGACTTTTTAACTTGGCTTAAATGTGACCTGCCTGAACAGTGAAGTTAAGCAGCTAGGATGCGGTGCAAGTACAACTGGTTTCAGGCCTCAATCGTGTTTTAAAAGTAGAATTATTTATTGGCAAACTTGTAAAATATGAAAACTTTCTGAGGCAGAACATGTCAGCGCCTGGGTCATTTGAGGGAGAGGGCGAGACTGGGCACGGTGCTCAGATTTTCTACAGTCATATGCTTCTGTCATTACTTAAATGTGATCTGACAGAGAGAGATACAGCGAGCAGGGAAATGGTCTTATGCTGAGTGACTTATTAATTAAAATCTTAATGTACTAATTTAAAATCTTGAACATTGACTTAGTCATGAATGAAGATGAGGTGCCGTGCTGCAAAAAAATGACACTTGACAGTTCATTTATTCTTGTGTTGAGTCTTAACTTTTATAAAAGAAATGCCTGATCATTCCCAGGTCAGTGAATCAGATCCATCTATAACATTTCATAAGCTTGAATTCAAACTTTTTACAGAAAGTTGGATAGTAGCTTAAAGTCCTGCTGTAGTCTGACAGAGCTACTAGCCTGGGCCTTAACCATCAGAAATTGAAAACAGACTAAACACTGGATCCACTCAGCCTAGCAGAGACATTATAACCTTATGACCCTCTGCAAAAATAACAGCTTATGTCTGAATTCACTGCAGTTCATAACAGAATTCTCAAAGAAACAGTGTTAGTATTGCCAGTACAGCTTAAAGTACTGCTGTAGTACAGCATGGGTCAAAGTCTGCTTTTAATTCATGTGAATTAATGTCTTCAGATTTTTTTATTAAAATTGTTGTAATTTTTCTTATATTATCATTTATCCATTTATTTCAGGAGAAACAATTAGTGATTAATTGAATAATCTCTCAACACAACATAAATTGGCAAAACTTTTTATAATCATTAAAGCATTTAAGTCAATTAGCAAGCAAATATGCCAGATATTGTGTAGCTTCAATTTCCCAAATGTTAGCATTTTCTGCATTTCTCTAAATGATTGCAGTGTGTGGGGGGCTGGTGGCTGGTTATACTTTGTCAGTTATTCTAACAAAGTTTCATATTTCCGTGATGTCTAAAAATCTGATATGAATATAAATTCACAAAGGAAAAAAAAAGTGCAGAGGAGGCATAAAAACATGAAACCAAAAAATGATCCTGCCTTTTTCAGAGTCATACGACTTGCTCTAAGAAATGCATAAGTTGCAGACCCAATTCAACATTAAAAGGAACCGGGCATATTAATATTTTTTGCAGTGTGAGAGCTGGAGTGGGTGTGATGATGAGGGGGAGGCAGGTCAAAGAGAGGACGGGCAGAGGCCGCTGAGGCAGAGGCGCTCAGAGCTGGAAGGATGGAATGGATGCTGAAAATGAGACAGGGATAATGAAGCAGGGATGTAACAGTGAGAAATGGGGGGGGGGGACGGAGAAATGGAAAGGGATAGAAAAAAAATGGAGAGGAGAGAAGCAGAACGAAGGAGGAAGAAAAGAGAGAGTAAAAGAAAACCACACAGTCAGGGTAATGTGCGTGGGTGTTGTTCTGTATGTGTATAAGCCTGCAGCTTATCGTGCCCTACTTTTCCCCCAAAAAAGTAGAGGAGCAGAAAAACGCTAATATGTTTGCTCCCTTCTTCCATCACAGCTAAAAGAACATCATCTACACTACAAAACCCAGTCGCTTTCCTTCTTTTTGTAATCTCTTCATCCTCATCCCTGTCCCCTTTCTCTCTCTCCCTCTTTGTTTGTTTTGTGATGTCAGCCCCATAAAACTCTTGGTCTGACTGGGCCTAATTTGCAGTTTCAGTATGGTATGTGTGGATTATTCATGTGTTTAACGTTCCATTGTTTCTTCAAGAATTGGCATAAGGTTATTGGGGGCGTGTCTGTTAATGTGCATCTATCAACCAACTTAAACTGAGTTAGAGTCTGAGCTTGATTTTTTTGTTTATCTTTTAAGCTAAACTGTCATGCACACTCACAGTAGAATGAAGAATGAAATGACAGATGAGTGAATGGAAGACGGGGCAATGTACAAACTAGGATAACTCACATGTTGCCCAGGCTCCAACACAGATTGCATTCTGTAAGGGGAAGCAAAGAGTAGTGGGGGACTCCTAGGGCTAACCGGTAGACATAGGTACGAGACTGGGCACAAAAACGGGCATGGAAGTCATCAGGCACACGGTGGGCACAGGTGATCCTGGCAGAATGACAAAAGAGCAGTTGAAGTAAAAGAACAAAGTGGCAGCTGTGCCAGTGCCACTGCAAAAAGCACACCAGCACCTTACATTGTTCATCCACACATGCTTGTACATAAGAGTGTGCAATCAAGCTTGTGGATGTGTTATGGGTATGGAAGTATGGCCATGCCAAAATATTTGACAGCACGCAAACCAAAGCGTTACACAGTTTGCAACTCAGCATTTGAGAGCGGGCAGCCACATATTTGTAAGCGCATAATCAGATTTGACAGCGTTATCCCGGCTATGCTTGCGCTCATTTCTTCTCCACTAGGTACTGTGTGAAACTCTGTTAGTGCCAAATGTTTCGAAGGAGCACAAAACAAACTTTGAGCGCTATTTACTTAGCAAATCAGGATCTGAGTGAGCGGGCACAGATTTGTAGAAAAAATAGATCTGAGAGCAAGAGAGGACAGAATCATGAGTGCAACAGACGATTTCAGCAAACAGCAGGGATCCTCCCTTACTCTCAAACCTGTTTCTGCTCTTACAAATCCGTGCCCGCATGGTCTCAAATCCTGATTTACAAACTGAATAGCACTCAAAACTTGTTTTGTGCACTTCAAAACCCTTTGGCATTTCACACAAAACCAACTGGAGAAATCTGAGCTTGCAGACTCAGAAATGAGTGCAACATATGCTCTCAAATCTGATTATGCCCTTACAAATATGTGCCTGCACATTCTCAAATGTGGAGTTTCAAACTTACTAGTACCTGAAATTTGGTTTGTGCTCCCAACTAGGACATTGTTTGCTGTGGCACCATTTTGCCACATTGTAAGCTAATTTCAGACCATTTTCACAGAAGGGCAGTGAAGCCCAGGCTGAAGAGAGAGAGATATTTTTCATAGTGTACAGTCTATGTTATAATCTTGCGTTGGCTCTCCCTCTCCAGAGGCAGCAGATTGAAGCCTTGAGCAAAGAGCCATACACTGATTGTTGCTGTAAGAAAAACTCTTTTTTTAGTTGCATCTTCCCTCTGAGTAAAATGTGAAAAGATGGTTTGTGGTATCAGAGCTAAGAATATTTTTTCAAGATGCACACACAGTATAAGGCAGTTAAGGAGACTTCTATAATGCTGTTATATGAAGTGTGCTTATAATGTATATTTCTTAGCAGATTTCACATATTAATCAGGACTAATTCCCATTTAGATGTGTATCTGTGTGTTTAAGTGCGTGTGTGAGAGAGAAAGAGTGCATTAACGGATGCTATAGATCAAGAAGAAGAGCAGGGATAAGCCTTTCTAACCTCTCTGCAGGTTTAAGGATTAGTGGGATGTTGGGAGCTTCCCTCTCTTCTCTTCTCTGTGTTTCCCCAGTGTCTCTTTTCTGCTTCACTCTCACTTCTCTGTCTTTATTTAGAGCCTGTCTATTTAGGACTCTTTCTTCACCCTCTCTCAGTGACTCCGACTTTCTTTATTTGTTCATTCATCATTGTCTGAGTCCCTCTGCTTCCTTTATCTTATTCTCTCTTGAAATCAAAACATACCCAGTGCTTTTGGAAATAAGAACACTTTTAAAACTGGTGATGAATAACCAAACAACTTGGCGTGATCATCACTGTTCAGAGAAATGAATGCTTTGCCCTCATATGACAGAGTGAAGTGCTGTTGTTCAGTAACAGTAAAACTAGGTCACAGAGCTCAGTAGCAGAACAACACTGACGAAGTCATAAAAACCTTTATGCATCAGTTAGATGCTGGGGAAACACGCTTGGGACCAGCATGAAAAAAAAAAACTCCACAACTAAAGACTTTCAAGTGACTGGCAGGAAATGTGTGGAAATGTGTCCTGATGTACAGCTCGAATGACCTGTGTTACATTTAAGGCCTGCGTGAGGAGATTCTCAGTTCAGGTGTACGGGTGCATGTTTGTGATTATTGACTTACCTGATTTTCTCTGTCCCAAGATGGAAATTGAGCGCCTTAACAAGTATGTCTTCAGTAAACAGTGGCTTGTCATTCTTGCGTTGGAGGTCAAAGTGGGCAGAATTAGAGAGGGCATGGACGCCTCTGTCTGTCCTGCTGGAGACCTTCAGAGATACTGGATTGAGTGGCCTCAGTCTCCTTAGCGCATCCTGCACACCAACAAAGAGAACATCAAGGAGAATTAAAAACCATGAGATCATTTCACCCTGCTAATTGTTATTCAATCCGTTCCACAAGATCAGTAAAATTTTTGATGAGCTGAATAATCAATTGTAAACACTGAAAAAAAAAACAAATCCTTTCATTGTTAACATTTGTCAGTTTGCTAAACAAAACTGTGCTTATAAAACCAACCACCAGACATGGCAGCTACTGCACAATCTGCCTGTCTTCATGCAGTTATGAACATAAGTTGAAGTGAGTGTATTGTATTGCTCTTTGTGCACCACTCTCTATGTTGTTATTCATATGATAAATCAGGAATTCACCAAGACAGAGACTAATAATAAAACATCCTCCCATTCCATAAGCAACTTTATAACAGAGAGCAAACATCATCACAAAATGTTTATTTCATTTAATACATAATACATACTTAGATAATAATTTAGATGGCTTGATTTATAGTTTACAACACAGGAGCTGGTCTTGCAAACAAATACGCACCCAAGGGATGTGACAATACAATAACTGAAGTAAAACCTACCTCCAAGTGGTCCTGGACTCCTTTCCTCCTCTCCAGCTGATATGAAGGTACTTTCGCAGCCCCACTGCAGTTAATAATAATAATAATAAATAACAATAATATGCCTTAAAATTTAACAACTTATCGTGCACGGTAACCTACCTGTATTTTGTTCCAATATACTGGAAAAAGATGAGGTAACGTGTGCTGTTCTGCATGCTTTCTCCAAATGTCCCTGGCACTTCTTGGTCATGTTTACAAGACTCAGTGTCTACATTTTAAAAGCCCTCGTAATGGCTCCATTTTCGACATGACGAACCGTGGCTTCAACTGCTCTTCCACTGTTTTAAGTAAGAATGTAAAGGTCGACTTTTACAAAACTCTTCCG